TTCTTTTTTAACATCTATCTGTGTTTTGAAAGTTTCGCTTGAGTTTTATCTTATTTTTCACTAAGTATGGACTGGGTCTTCAATCAAAATAATATATATTATTTATCGTTATGGGACATATAAACGTTATAAGCAATTGAGTGTTTAACGCTATAAATAATTTAAACGTTATACAAATTTAAACGTTTAAAAAATTTTTCGTTTACCGTTATTGACAATTAAAACGTTATGAAAAATTTAGCGTTTTGCGTTATTTAAATTAGGGTAAAATTTGAAACGTTTTCAAACGTAGTAATACTACAAAATAAATCATAATTTTTGTTTCTTAATAAAATACCGATTACTTATATAAAAATTATCTTGGTCTAAAATTCTCGGGAGGGGGGGATTTCCCCCATCGCCCCCCCTCAAATATGCCACTGGCTAGAGATCGTTTTCTGTTTTAAAACGTGTAAAAAATTATTTAAGATCATTATTAATAGGTACAAGAAAAAATGTTCAATTTATCAATTTTATGCATAGAATCTAATTTGGTCGAGGAAATGAAATGAGAAGAACAGGTACAAACATTCGCAAACTCTTAAATCCAAAAAAACAAATTTAAAAAAAATAAATTATAGTAGGTATTAATTTTTTTTTATTATTTTTTTTTTTTTAATTTACGTTAATATTAAAATTGTGACTATTTTTCATTAATTTAAAAAATTCTTTTACAAACTATTCTATGACATTTAATATTTAGTTATACTTTTTATTGTAAGTAGATTAATTATTATATTAAGTATGTTTTATAATATTTAATTTTTTTTAATTTATACATAGAAACTAGGGGTTTTTTTTGATCTCATTTAAACCTTATTTTTTTGGGGAGAGGAGGTAAACAATATTTGCTCCAGGGCACTTAATCCAGCACTGTACATGAGATATATTATTATCTACATTTACTGATGGTAGTACTACTCAAAAGCATAATAGAAAATTACTTAAGTAGGTTGCAATTCATGGTACGTATAGATCACAGTACAGACATATTATATCAATAGGGTTTTTTATTTGTTACACGTGCCTATATTTTGGTTCATATTCGGCAAACTCGAAAATTAATAATACAATTATTTTATACGAATTATGAATGTAAGTTTATATGATTATGAATATTGCAGTGCAATATAATATACTGTAAGTACCGATATTTTGAAATTATTTTAAAATCCAATGAAGTTGTTTTAAATATTTAATGAATTTATTTGCTAGGAAAAAAGTATAACTATGATTTAAAATTATTAAAATAAATTATGTTAAATTCACTTTCTTAAAAATTTAATAGATACAAATTAATGAGAGGGTTGACACTGCTTAGTTCCAATTAATTGTGACTTTATAAGCTAAATCCTTAAAAATATTGTTAAGATTTCAATAAAAATAAAATATTCCATATTTTAAATTATAAAATTGAGATAAAATATTTAAATTTCAAATACCAAGTTAGTTTAAACATCTTGATTGTACTAATTAGCAGATTTTTATTAACACTGACAGGTTTACAACCTGTCACCAAACATCCAATCATACAGTGGAAGCCAACTGGAAACAAGTAGTAGAGGCAGATTTATGAGGGGGGGGAGGAAAATGTGGCAAAAAAATTAAACCCCCTTGGACTTAGTAACTATCACATATTTATTTCTATGTATATACTATAAAATACTATGAATAATTTTGTGTAGATAGCATATTTCATGATAATAAATAGTATTGTATTATATATAATATAATACTAATAATAGTTATAATATTCCTATTCACCCCCTCTCTTCTTAAACAAGCTTCAGATCCATTTAGTTTAGCTTAGTTAAGCAGGAAAGCAGGAAAAATTCTAAAGGCTTAAATTTAAAGCTTAACAAATATTATATATTTATAGAGCTATATAATCAAATAAATAAGGCTGCATAATACTTTAACACCAAAAGTATACATCTATAAATATACACCAATACTGCATTTTCATTAAAATAATACAGGATAAAATGTATAAAAACAGTATTTTGAAGTTTTCAAAAATATTTCATAGAAAAAATTATAATTTATTAACAAAAATTGTTGTTCTTTTTAAATTTTGAATATAAACTAAAAATTATTTTTTAGTAGAAAAACCTTGAGGGTATAAAGACTGCCATCTCCATGTATCTTCACACATTTCTTTTAAAGTTCTTTTGGCTTCCCATCCAAGATATTTTTTAGCAAAAGATGCATCACAATAAGAAGAAGCACAATCACCTGACCGACGATCAACAATATGGAAATCAATTTTTCGTCCACTAATTTGACTGAACATTTCTATGACCTAATTATAAAAATAATTAATATAAATTTATCATAGTTAAAATCAGTTTTTTTTTTTAACTATATTTTTAGAGAACCCGTGTTAGATTAACTAATAAAAATGTATTTATTAACAAAAATATAAATTTAAGAAGAGAAAAATTGAAGATTAATTAATTAATAAAATACATATAATACAACAATGATACATTTTTTTAAAGTAAAATTTTAATTAAAAACTATAATTTGTTATTTTAAATTTTAAATTATTAAATTTATTCTAATTACATAAACAAAAATAAATTTTTTATACATCATTACTTGTAATACAGAATATCCTTTTCCTGTGCCCAGATTTATAGCTACAGCACCATGTTCATCAGAATTTAGGATCTTTTTTAATGCACTAACATGACCATCAACAAGATCCATAACATGAAGATAATCTCTTACTCCAGTTCCATCAATAGTATTATAATCATTACCGAAAACATTTAAATACGGTCGGTTACCAATAGCTACTTGAGCAACATAAGGCATTAAATTGTTAGGAACTCCAGTAGGATCTTCTCCTAAAGTTCCAGAAGGATGTGCCCCAACTGGATTGAAATATCGTAAAATAATTACAAACCATTCCTTATAATAAACATGGGAAGACAAATAATTAATTTCTAAAAATAAAATGACAATCAAATATTAGTTATTGTATGATATACTTTATCAGAATTGCATAAATCTTGTAAAATTCCCTCAATATAGTACTTTGATTTAGCATATCCATTTAGTAAATTTTGACCAACAGGGTGTGATTCTGTAATTGGTAGAAATTGTGGTTCACCATACACTGTGGATGAAGAGGAAAATACAAGTTGCTTTACATTGTGTTCTTTCATAACCTATGAATCAAGCATATTATTAATAAATATATAATGTAAAAGTTAAAAATTTTAATGTCTTAATTTATTATTAATTTTATTGATATTGGATAAATTTTAAAATTAAAATAAACATTATATCATATATATAACATTATATATTATCCTCAATATATTATAATGAAGAATGACCCAAAAGTAATTAAAATAAAATATCAATATTAATATAGTTAACTATAATAACTTATAATACAACAAAATTAAGTATAAAAAAAACTGTTTTAACAATTATTTTTTATCTTCAGTTTAAGTTAAATATAAAGAATGGAAGAACAGTTGATATTAAATAGTAAGTTACTTGCATATTTAAATAACTAATTGCTATTTATATCATTTCTAAATAATTAAATCATACCAGTGTATTTTTATATAATATCTAAAAAATATATAATTATGAGTAAATTTATTATAATTTAATAGAATATAAAATAATAAATTTTATTATATATTATAATTTATAACATTAATACTTGAAATTCATTATTATAGTTATCATTCAACTTACTTGAAATAAATTAATTGATCCAGAAACATTGACTCGATAATAAGTCAAAGGATTGATACATGACTCTCCAACAGCTTTTAAGCCAGCAAAATGAATAACACAGCAAAATAAATGCTAAAAATTAATAATAATTTAATAACTTACGTAGAAAATGTTAAATTTACTTATAAATGTATGTTTGAGGAAAATGTAACTATTCATTTTTTTAAATTAATAAAGTAATAAAATTAAAAATTAAAATGATTATATATTTTATTAAAGAGTAGTATTTTATATACAGTTAGTTTATTTAGTTTAAATATAATATAATTCCAGAGGGCAGCAAGGCAACTAATTTGTGACCTCAATTTTTGATTAAATATAAACCATAAATATATTTTAAAAAAACAATGCAACACATAAAATATATTTTCTCTTCCGATGTTGAAAATCGCCTACAGTTGCACTTACTTTAGGTAGATTAAAACATGCAATTGATAATTTTGAACAATACTTCATAAAATTATTATTTAGACAATAGATTAATAATTATAGTTGGTAAAGTCATCATTATAAAATAAAGTAAAATATATTAACAAAATTATTCTGAAATTTTTTGATTTTTAACAGCTATAAATAGAATAAAATAGTTAATAAGTATAAATGATAAATAAAGTGCTAACCTTATCAAATACTTTTGATAGAGAATTATAATCCAAGAGATCAACATCATAAAAAATCACTTGTTTATTCACTAATTTTTCAACTTGGGTTATAGGTATTGGATTTTGTCCATTGTCTCCTGTATTAATATTATTATTTTCAATTACAATTTCAGCAAACATTAAAAACAAATTATGAAGAATTAAATACAATAGTTTAGTACTGTAAAATTAGCAAATTACGCAAGCAAAATAAACCATGATAAGCTTTGACAAAAAATTGTAGTAAGAAATTAAATTACAATAAATACCACTCATTGTTTTAATTAATTCAAGTTATTATTAGGACTCATCAATTTTATTTTATTCAATATTCAAATGTTGAATTTAATCCATATTATAAAGTTTGAAACATAATTTTACTGAATTTATACTCATAAAATAGTTCTATCATAATATATTATTACGAAAAAAAAAAATCTATAGAATATTTTTTTGATGTAATACATTTTTCATTTATAGACACATGCAAAGCGGCCAGCTGGAAAACTTATAATAATATATTGTTACATTTAAATTATGACAAACCAACACAAATTCAAATAAACATAACTAATTGTCATATCAAAGTCTATTTAAAATACTAAAATTTGATTCATTCTACTGATATATTAACATAAATCTGTGATTTATAAAAATTTGTATAATTTAAGTAATTTCATTAGTAATAACTAACAATATTTTAAAACAATTTTAATTAAAAAAATATACAGGAAAAACTATATTTAAACTTGGTTGACGAATTTAAGGAAGGAGAATTTTTGGAATACCAATGTATATTTTCTGTTTCAATATTTACACCAACAGTGTAATATCACATAATAACATAGGCAAGCCTATGAAAACTCATAAATATTACTGAGAAGGAAAAATATTTGAATTGATTTAATATACTAATAAATATTCAATAAATAAATTGTACATAAATGGTTTGACACATTATTAATATGCAATATAACATACCTTTACATGCATTTGATAAATTATCTAATACCACCACCTCATAACCGGATTCAATTAAAGGTATTATAGTATGGCTACCAACATACCCTGCACCACCCGTTAACAAAACACATTTGTTTCTTGCACTATCCATTTTGTAGTTTATCACTATAAAAATCCAAAAGGATTTTTGACCAGCAATACCTAATAAAAATATGTATAATATTAATCAATTAATTATTGTATTACATTATTATTAAAATTATCTCACTACACAAATTAATTAAATGACATTTTTCCACAAAATATTTAACATTTTATGTAGGTATTTAAAAAAAGGCTGTTTGATATTTTACATGCAAAAATTATTTCTAAAAAATGAACTTATCAAATAAACAATGAAAATAAATTGTGTAGGTAAGATTTAAATTAAAATTATTATACATTTTTTTAATGAAATAAATTCAAATTAATTTTAATTTTAAACTGGTATTTGAATAATTTCATAATAATATACACCTATAAATGTTTAATAAAATAGATGTTTTTTGAAAATATTAATATTAAATGTATTGTATTTAGATAAAAACCAGACAGAAGGTCATAATTATAATTTTACAGCCTAATGGCAAAGCAGTAATTTGTATAAGACATAGAAGAGACAATAACAAACATGTACTATAATTTAAATTTAAGTTTAAATAATGCAAATGAAAAAAATTTTACCTCAAAATAATTAAACAGAAATTTGTTGTGTGCTAACAATAAAACACATCCATATATGGGCTATAGGAAATATTAAGTGAATATGACTGTATGTAAACACAATACCTACATCAAAATGTAATAAAAACCATCACAGATAAGATATACTCAAATTCCAAGGCCATTGACTTACTAAATGTATATTTTATAATTATAATTTATCATGAAAATTCATAAACATAATAAAAAAGCTTATTTTTTATCATCAGTTGTATTTATCTTTAATATCTAGCTAATAAATTAATATTATTAAAATTATTTAAATTGATCCAATACTTTTAAAATCTTTATAAATTAGAAAAATTACCCATATTCTATTAAAATAATTAATATAAGTACATGTTTATCTATGGACATAAATAAAATCAAATTGAAGTAAATTTTTTGATTATAGGAACAATATGAGCATAGCTATACGCATACTTAATCAATAAGCTGAAGTATAAATATTTATGTTAAAATTATAAAGCAAAAATCCTACTTCATACATATAATTAGGTACTATTAGTATTAAAACCATTAAATATATCTATGATTAATTAATTTTGGAATGAGTATGAAAAATGTAGGGAGCTAAGTTTTCATGATCCCTACTGAATTGCATTTATACATACAGCTCTGGCCGATGGTTATAGGTTTATTCAAAATATTTTATGGGTCAAAAACGGATTTATTTGTATAAATTTAAAATAAATTATAATAATAATATGATAGGGTTTAAAAATTCTGTTAAACGAGGTTAACAATTTTCAGTAATTAAATTCAACAGCTCATAATATATAGTATCTTCTAATTTTCCCTTACGTATAAAAATAGACTTATATTAATAGCCAAGTAAATATAAAAATATCCAAAATTGGTCAATATCAATTTATTGATCATCGTTTCAACAATACTGGCAAAAAGTTTTTTTTATACGATTATGAAAAAAATTGAAATAGGTTAGAATGAAGTTAAAATATTTACATACCAACATAAACTGCATACGATCAATCCATATCCACAATGACCAGATGCAGAACGCTGCATAATTAATATCAATTATTTGTGAATATCGGTAAATTGTGACATTATGATAACGAGTAACGACATCGAAATAGTTATCATAAGTGATAAATTGATAACAGATGGTCTGTGGGGTCGGTCGTAGAGTAATTAGGCAATGGGGTCGATCGTCGGTGGGAAGATATTGATAAGTTCGAACATGGTACAAACTGTGATAAGTGGATGAGTTTGTCCGTTGTCTATCTGTTAGGCCCAGTAAGAGCACTACATCCAGTGGCACACGCAGAGGGAGCTAACGGATTAACCCCCAACCCAATTAGCTGTATTATAATTTTTTTTTGATTAAGTGTAAGTAAACGAAGTCAACGGTAAAAACACCCCTAGGAAAATATGGTTAGACGTAGTGGAAGAAGACCTTAACCAAATTAGCCTGGGACCGAGAAAAATGGAGGAATTTAGTGATGGTGATGACAACTTTTGGAGAGTATAAGAGCCCGACGAAGAAGAAAAAAATCATCCCATCAAATCCCTCCAATGGCGAATTTTGAGACGTACCAACACTACATATTTATAGGCTATGACCGAAAAGGAATAATGTTATTGATTTAAACTATATGTTTTAACTACTGAGGTGTGAAATAATTTTATTTTTAAACACACTAGTTTCTGCAAACCGTTGTTATTATGTAGTATCGTTTACTAATTACCAAAAATTCTATCTGTAAACAGATTTCAGAAATTTTAGTAAGTAGGTAATGTGTCTTCCATGTCCAATACATTTTACAAATTGTTTTTCTGATCAAATATTTTATGTGAGGTAATTTTTTAGAACTATAAGCAATATTCACACCATATTTTATGGGGCCCTGAAAAATTATTTTTAGTAGTATGTTAATTAGAAATCACGGGAACCTTTGAAACCTGCAGTAGGTACATGCGCGAGGCCCTGAAGATATATGCCATTTGCTTTTAACACTGACCTTTTTAAAAGATAATGCGTTACACCTTGTGGATAAATTATAATTTTACCAATTTTTTAAACCATATTAACGTTACTAAAAAATGATATATTTATAAATCTACAATTTCTAGTTTATTTTTACAAGACATTTTTAATTAGATTAAGCTTGATAATATAGAATCCGAGTTTATACATAAAAAAACGCAAACTGAACTAGAATTGAGTACTAGATGTTCTTTTCAACCAATATGTCTTTAACTGTATTTTTGTACATGACACATGTATTGAAATGTATCGTTCTAGATTTTTATGTGAATGTAATATATATTTTGAACTGAGTTGTGCATATTTCTAAAGTTCACAGAAAACGTTAGATGGATTTAAAACACAAGGAAATATGTAGCTAAAGCGATCATAACCAGTGGTGCAACTATGAATAAATATTTGGGGGGAGGGGGCTAAGTCTCCCTTAGTAATGAAAAGTGGCAACTCACGAGCGTTATTTTACCGCGCGACATTTTTACCACGCCCTAAATTTACGGTGCATTTTGTTAAAATAAATTAAATTGAATAGAGCACAACACACTAGTGTCCAGGGGAATATGTAGACTTATTTCTGGGGGAGGGGGGGTGACTAAAATTTTTTTCTTTAATTCAGGCTCAACATTTACAAGTAAAATTTTTGGTAATATTAAAATCAGGTGAATCCTTAATATTTGTTGTTTTTTTTGGACCCGACACAAAGTCCAATCAAGGGCATATTTGAGGGGGGGTGAAGGGGGCATTCGCCCCCTCATGGCTTGTATTTTTTTTAATATAATATATTGATTTACTTAAAAAAATGTAATGTATAAATAATTTAGAATATAAATTACTAGTCTATCATTATAATATAATAATAAATTCAATAATATGTCAATTTGATCACGGGTATCAGTTTTTATTTATCTTCATATATCATAACATTTTTGGTTGTAGAACGAATAGTGGTATTATCTTCCAAAGATATTGCTACGGTTATAGACATTTACAACCATAACCAAGGTATTTATCAGATAATATAAAATAATTTAAAGTAACACTTTTTTTATCACATATTTACCAGTTGGTCATTTTTTTGGTGAATTTATGCATATTGTATATTTTTGGATTTATTAGAGCTATATAAGTCCTTAATAATTTTACTTGCCTTTTTTTTTATATAATCTAATAGCTGGTACTTTTTGTTGTGCATAGGTATTTATTTATTTTTTTGTGGACAAATGCATACATATTTGTGTATTTTATAGAGCTAGAAGCCCCTAACCCAAATAATGATCAAAATAACATAGGCGTGCGCAGACCTCTTTTTCAGGGTATGTAAAAGGCTACCACTTCCTACCCCCCTCCCCTTAAACTGAAAGTTAATTTAAGCGTTTGAAATTCTGGTCTTAATAACTATTTAATTTAAAATTTTAATTTTTTTCCTAAAAAAAAGTGACTGAATAGCCATTTCTTAATCGTTATAATTGTCTTCATAATTAAAATTTAAAATAAATTACGAAAAAAAATTTAAATACATGATTTGAGTAATACGTTTAAATAGGATAAATAAATAAAAACGTAATTATGTACTTAAATGAAAAACAAAATAAGTTTGATAAATAATCAAAATTAATCATAAAACGATTCTGCGTACAGTTGAGTTCTTAATATCATCAATAATGTTTTCGAGATTTTAATTTATAGCCATTTCTCGTTCGGTAGTTGATAGCTATTTAATCTTACTTGAATTATTGTACTTCTTAATTTCATTCACACATTAAATCGTTGTTATAGCATATGATTTGTGTTTCAAAAATAAATTAAACTGTCTGGGACTGAATATAAAAATATAATAATAATCATAATGTAATACAAAATTACATAACATACATAAGACCAAATATGTCATAATTTCATAATTTTTATTTATTTTTTGTAATTTTAGAAAGAAAGCTCTATGTTTAGGGTATGCAGTTGCATACCCTGCATATCCCCTGCGCACGCCTATGTTTAATAACTGACAATATTTGTTTCCATATTCTCATAGGCTTGTTTATGGCTATGACCACTCTGGTAATGACCAGACCTGCAACATTGGCGCACATAAGGGGATGCCAGGGAGTGCTTAGCATCACCTAGTTCTAATCTAGTACCTCCAGTTTATTTTGAGGTAAAATTATTGTTTAAGGAGGATTATTTTGCATTTAAAATAATGAGTAAACTTCAGTTTGCAGATAATGCACTAATGCCACGAACGTATTCATACTATGTAAATACTTATGATATTGGGTATTTGTATTTATGCTACCTATGCATTTGATACTATTATTATGTTCAAGTTAATTGCTAGAATACCATTTAGGATTTTGGTATTCTTTACCGTCTACAGATTTGATTTCTTATTGATAAAAAATAGTGATGTTGATTAATAATATTTAGTTATAATATAAAAAATTGCTACAATTATAATTAAATGGTAAAACTAAAACATTTTATGCTAAGTAATTGTAGAATTGACAGTGGTTTCCAACGGGTGGGAGGGTAATATAGTGATGATAAAATTACAAAAATAATTATGATATATTAAATTTGCAATGTTTAAAATTGAAATCACTAAATATTTTCAGATTATTCCGCATCGATAACAATCATATTTTATAATAATAGTGGGATAAACCTTTTCGTATTTAATATGATATTGATAGGTACAAAGTTTGATTAGCACAACTAAAAAAATCGCCTTACCTCTAAATTTAGGGAGAGGGAGAATGAGATTTTTTAAAATTTACCATGAGGCATAAGATGAAAAAGGTTGGGAACCACTATTGTAAGGGGTTTGTGGTGGACTTCGCCTTGGGCGGATAATTTTAGCACTCCCAAGTTTCATATTGAATGTGCGCCTATGACCTGCAAAATCCAGCTTCGTTTTAAATTTATGTTTAAATCATTAAAAATAATTACTAAAAATTAAAAAAATGATTAAATAAAACAAAACTAAATAATAAATATTTTCACATCAAATATTATATATGTATAATATGTCTGTGACAAAAACTAACCAATATTTATTATCTAATATCCATAGCTATAAGTACCCGTGTAGTTTTAGTTGTATTTTATGTTATATACCTTTTATTTTTTTGAAAAGAGTGAGTATATTATTTACTAGCTAGGTATAGTTATTGTAGTAGCTACAATTACTACGTACGTTCTCGAGGTAGTGTATAAGTCATTCTTTGTCTTCGTATCCTAAATAAAAATTTAAATTTTCTTAATGAAAAATATTATTGGCCATACCTGCACAAAATTTTCAGACACGCCTATGCATATTCTTTAACTTGCAAATATTGGCCAAAAATATATTTTTGTAAATTGAAAATGTGGTTAAGATCAAGAATAGGTCAGCGTAGACTAACAGGTTTGTCTTTGCTGCATATGCATAAAAATGTTATTGTATCCATTGATGAAACAATCAACAAATTTGCCAAAATGAAAAAAATTAATTTGGGATTTGTTATTTGACCTAACCTTATGTTTTCTACTTAGATATTTTTTAAATTAAGTTACCTATTTTAATTGTTTTTTTTAAATTTTTTAAAAAATAATTAATAGGTACTATTACTACTATGATTATTTGTTGTTTTTTTTATAAAGTACTCAGACTGAAGGTACAATTTTAATATAAGAACTATTTGTGTTGTTATTATTAATAATTATTTTATATGCAGTAGGTTTTAAATCTATTTATTAAATAAATATTAAATTCAATTTGGTACTTTTATTTTTATTTATTCACTCTAATGAGCAACAGGAACATGAACTGTAGGTAATGAACCAGTGGCGTACCCAGAATTTTTTTAGAAGGGGGGGTCCAACATTTTTACTATATCAGTTATCTAATTATAGTTATAGTTAAAAAACTAGAACTGGTGTGTGATGTGTGTATAACTATTGTGAATATTACTGTTAATAACTATAGTAATAGTCATAATAGTTATACACTCATCACACTTATTCTGCACAAAGGTTTACTGTAATAGGTAGGTATTATAATTTGAAATCAATTTTTATTTGGTAGTAAAATGTTATAAAAAAATACATTATTTAATTAACAATAATAAATAATATTAAAAAAGCAATATAAATTAAACATGGTTTATTCATTATAGGTATATTATATTATTTATAAACTTTGTATATTTAAACTAATGGGAAATTAAAATACACTATTAAACCATTGAGTATGTACAAATTTCAATGGTGGGGGGGTCCGGACCCTAAAACCCTCCCCATTGGATATGCCTCTGTAATGAACTGTAAATTATTTTTAAATTTGTATTTAATAAATCAATTCCCCCCCTCCCATGGCCTCAACTTAAATACGCCCTTGAGCCCAATTCAGTATTCACAGCCACGCGTAATTTGATATCGTTCTAAAATGATCCACATTAAAAAAATTTTAATTGAGTATCTCACATAAAATCAATTCCTTAAATACGAATTCAGGGGGGGGGTGG